AACAACATGGATAGACTAGAGAGTGTTACATTGAGTGAAATAAGTTGGACAGAGAAAGACAAATACTGTATGATTTCACTTACACGTGGACTCTAAAAAACAAAGCAAACAAACCAACAAAACAGAAACAAACTTAAGATCCAGAGAACAAACTGATGGTTGCCAGAGGGGAGGAGGATGGGCGGATGGGCAGAAAAGGGAAAGGGATTAAGAAGAAGTACAAACATCCAGATGTAAAGTAAGTCATAGGGATGAAATGTACAGCATAGGGAATACAATCAATAATACTGTTATAATGATGTACTGTGACAGATGATTAGTAGACTTATGGTAATCATTTCGTAAGTGAATCTCTATGTTGTACACTTGAAACTATAATATTGTGTATCAACTATAATTAAAAATATTAAAAAAAAAAGCCAGACACAGAGGAGTACATATAAAGTGCAAGAACAGACAAAAATAATCTATGGTGATAGAAATCAGGACAGTGGTTGCCTTTGGGACGTGGGGATTGACTGGCACGGGACAATAGGGGACTTTCTGGATGACAAAAATGTTCTAGATCTTGTCTGAGGTGGTAATTATACAAGTGTATACTTTTATTAAAACTAATCAAATTGTAAAAAAAAAAACCAAACAAAAAAAACAAATAAATGACATTAAAAGTTGGCATTGATGGGCTGGCCAAGTGGTGCATTGGTTAACAGTTGGCTTGGGACGCCAGCTCTGAGCAGCAGGTCTCTGGTTTGGATCCCACATGAGGGCCAGTGACACTGCTCTCTATATCTAAGATGGTGAACAACAGCTGGACCTGGAGCTGGGCTGTTGAGAGTCACTGGCGACGGCATTGGCTGCAGTGGGGCTGCAGTGGGCCTGCAGGGGGCTGCCATAAGCTACCGTGAGCAGCTGTTCAATGGCCGGCGAGTGACTGACTGCCTCACCGGGAAGAGTGCAATGATCATAATACCAACATGGGCCAGTGAAGCGATGTCCTCTACAACTAGACTGAAGAACAACAGGACAGCAACTTGTCTGTTCCCCTTCCCCAATACCCCAACGCTGTTCCCCTCTCCCAATTCCCCAATAAAATCTTAAAAAAAAAAAAAGTTGGCATTGACTCTTTTTCTGGCATTATACCATGTACATTAACATAAGTGTTTCCAGCATCCAGCATGGGAGTTGGTGGGGGTGGAGTTGTGGGGTAATGAGGAAGAAAGGTGGAGAAGAAAAAGGGCAAAGAATTACCTCATTAAATATGATTATTTTAATAAGAGTCTTTTCTGCAGTCCCACCCAGAATTATATCTGTAACATTGCTTCCTTTTCCTGTCCAAACAGGTTTACAGTATGAGTTTATATTCTCATGACAAATGCTTTTGTCACCTTCTACTTAAGTGAAACATACTATCCAATGAGTTCTGTAATTAGAAACTTACCCATAACTTCTGGGATACCTGTTTTAAAGGTGGTGACCACTAACTAAGCAATTAACATGTCCTTGCTGCAATAGAATTTTGCTATCTCTTCCATCATACGATGTCACCCCAAGGTATTCAGACATTACCAACCTCAGCCGTGGATGCAAACAATGTGTGGAAATACCTATTGGCTTCTGAGATACTCATCACTATAATGAATTGATGCCCAGAATAAACAATAGATTGCTATCTCTATGTTTCTAAGACATGTAGATTAAAATAGACTTTCAAACCAGAAGTCTAATGTTTCCAAATACAAATAAACTATCTGTATTTGTTATACATTTCAGCATGCCAACAGGGTGGCTGGAATTACACTGACACAGTTACTATCGATACATATAGTAAAGGAACTTTTCTCCGGTGTAGAAACTATGAAGGTCCAAGTCCCAGAGGCAGGAAAAGGTGTTGGAAACCTACCATCTTGGTTCCAGAAAGATCATGAGGTAACAAACTTTTTTTTTGGAAAAATTTATGATAAACTGGTATAATGTTTAACATGATAAAAGAAAAAGTGTGAATCTATAGGTTATCTAATTCTGTGAGATCTGCTCCTAGTAGGCCTATATCATAATGATGTGGGTTTCCTGTACTCCTGTCATGCCTTTAATGAGATCTGCATTATGACAAATTCTGTTCAACCATGGCTTACGTTATTAAATTGTGAAAGTAGTTCCCCACCTCCCCCCTTTCAAGTGCAAAAAATAATTTAGAGAACTACATTATTTATTAGCATATAGCCCATTTTCTGATTTCTTATGTGTCACTTTTTCCTGTACCTTATAAATAAAAAATATGAAAATAAAAAATCCATCAGATACACTGAAATCTGATAGCATACAGTAAAAATCTTACAAAGATAAAAATAATTTACTTTCAGTAATGTACTTTTAGAATGTTAACTAACCCAGATTAACTTCAAGATAATTTATTTTTCAAAAGTCAAAAGAAGACAGTTGGAGAGTATCTGAGCAGGTTATGTCCTTAACTGAGATCTGGGGTGACCTCATCCCTTAGGTGGGTATAATACATCAACTTTCAGAGCAAAACATATTTCATAGTTAAATAAGGCTAGCTTGTTTCAGTGCTTTAAAGCCCTGCGTGATGTCATTCATTTTGAAGACTAGAAAATGGTTTCAGTGAATGGAATTAAATTCCTGGGTAGTTGAGCTAGTCCCGTGTTTGCACGGCCGCAGAGTAAAAGAAAACGGGAAAGCTGCTTGTTGGCCAAGACTGTCTGTTACAACCCAGGATTCCACTGCCTAATAATACACCAACTCATAACAGGGGTCACTTCTGGATGGGGAGACGGAATGGACAGCAGGTGTGAGTGTTTTCACATTTTACTCTTTGTACTTCGGTATTTTACTTTTACAAGAGGAATGTATCCATGTCTTCCTTGATTTCCTAGTTCTTCAGAGAAGTTAAGGTCATTATTAGCGCATGAATGAATGATTTCGATATTTCACTCCATGGCTAATAGCCAAAGTCAGTTGAAGAAAAGAAAACAGGAGTTTTTGGGCCGGCCAAGTGGTGCGTTGGTTAAGAGCTGGCTTGGGACGCCAGAGGGCCCCGGTTCGGATCCCACATATGAGGGCCAGTGACACTGCCCTCTACAGCTAAGATGCCGAACAGCAGCTCAACCTGGAGCTGGGCTGCCGTGAATCGCTGGTGGATGGCATAGGCTGCAGCCCCTGCTGCAGTGGGTTGCCATGGGCTACCGTGTGTAGCCAGCAGCCAGCATGAGCGGCCGTCCAGAAGCCTGCGACTGATCTGCCTTGCTCAGGAAGAGCTCAATGATGGTGCCAACTTGGGCCAGTGAAGCAATGTCCTCCACAACTAGACTGAAGAACAAAAGGACAGCAACTTGTCTGTTCACCTTCCCCCAACTCCCCAATAAAAAAAAATATAAAGAAAACAGAAGTTTTAGGTTCAAGATTTCCCATTAACTCCTGAGAACATTTGAGTATTATGCAGCTTTATAAAACTGCTGTAGGGCTTATTAGATTCAAGGCCAAGTTCAGGCTATTCAAATACTTTAAGGGCTGTTCATTTCTTACTTGAGTAGGTGCTGCTCTTAAACTTTTTCTCATGCTGTTCTCTAAGTATCACTTGCTCCTGGAATGGCCATTCCGACTGTAACCTCTTCTCCACATCAGAAGGGACGAATCCAGATTTGCAAATATCTGCAAATGGAAGATAATTTAGAGACTATTTTCACAGTGGTAAGGTTGAAATCCCATACATTTACTTAGTTAGCTATTTATGTGATTAAAATAGGATAATTAAATTTCTGGTTACTAGGTATTAGATCGGAGAAAATATTTTCTGTTACACATGTCAAATTTGCTGGATAACCAATCACCATAAAAAACCAACCAAACGGCAGTTTTCCTAAGAAACATTGGCCATACACTGGACACAGGTACATTGGACATAACTTCAGGTTGTTAAATAATTCAGAAGGCTTCTCAGAAACTTGAAATGACCAGAGAATCCCACTGAAGAAAACACAGTTCAGTTCTCTTACGGTTCACCTTCAAAATACATAGACATTTGTTTTACATGGACTATATCTGATATGTGGTAAATTCCTCTTGCCGTAATGGTAGGACAGGAAATGTTGACTTTTTTTTTCTTCAAATTTGGGAACATCAAAACTTCTGAGACCACAACATGTGCACTCAGAAAATTCACCACTATCCTGTCAGGCAGACAGTGCTTCTTTATCACAAGACAACAGGGCTGCCCGCCCCTGGCTGCCAGGGTTGGTGGACATGCCAACAACTTCTCTTCTGGAAAGTCCCACATTCTGGCTTTCTGGCAGCCTGTGCCTTATCCATCTCTGTGCTCACAAAGGATGTTTCAGAAGTACTTGGATATTCCCAGTGACCCCTCCCTCCCACACCAAACAACATGAAGAAAATTGATGATCAAAGGACAGTTTCTGGTCTAAACTTATGAGTCCTTCTGAATGCGCATGACTGGTGGGAAACGGCCAAGTCTAAATGTAAACTATTCCAACTTGTTATTCCAAAAGAACCCCTCTTGCTTTTCTCATTTTTTTTTCTAATTACTACCCTATCAATTTTGGCCCAATTACTGATTAAATGTTCTAAATACTTACTAACTGAAAAACATAAACAGAAGGAAAATATGTCATGGATGAAAAATGAAATATTATTCATTAATACATGCATTATACATACATTATAATTCAATTATGTATATGATAGTTTTAATAATTTTAAGATATGATTTAACTTCATCTGATTTTTGTATAGCACTTATGAAACACACACGGCAAATCATCGTGGCTCTCTAGGGCAGGTTTCTCAGGTGAAGCTCACAGACTTCCAATATCAAACCATCTGAGGCACTTGCAAACCTCAGAACCAAGGTTGGAGCCCAGGTATCCCAATATTCAAACTCACTCCAGGTGATTATGTATAGTCAATAAAGTTTGAGAATCTGCCCAATAAATAGTCTTAAAATCCTTTCTTCGAAGCAGTGTGTATCTCATGTCCCCTTGTTATACCTTTCACCCACATTTTATTTCCAGAATAAATGGGTTTCAATCCATTACTGTGTCTTCAGCTGGAAATACTCTCTTCAGTTTGAGGCATTTTTACTCACATGCTCCCTGTAAGCAGCTCTGTTGTTCTGTCCTTCAGCTCCTATCATTGTTCTATTTACACACAATTAGCTCTCAGTTATGTCCAGCACACTTCTTTTGGTGCGTGCGTGCATGCGTGCGTGTGTGTGTGTGTGTGTGTGTGTGTGTGTGTGTGTGTGTGTGTGTGAGCGAGAGCTGCAGCTCAGGANTTATATTGTGTATAACATAGCTTGTTGCTGAGGAGAAATTGTTTCTCCTCAGCCCATGAATTTTAGCTTTAGGGAATCGCTCCTTAAAATAAGGAAATTTCTTCCCCTTAAGACTCTTGTATGCCCAATAAACGAGGCCTCAGTTTGCCACCAGCAGACAGAGTCCCTCCTGTCCCTGCACTTTGTCTCTCTTCTCTTTTATTTCTCGTCTCCCACCCAATCCTGTCAGGGACCCAATTGGTGAGCTCCTGGCTGACGAGCCAGGGACGTTCAGTTGAGCGAGCTGGTCTCGTTCAGTTGAGTCCTTCCCAAACCTCCACCTTCATTTTTCTATGAAGAAACTGACACCCAAATAGACGCGTGGAGACACAGGGGCGCTTTCAAGAAGAAGGTGTCTCATATTTAAAATTTTTTTTTTTATAAAGCTGAGCCATCCTGCTACCTGTTGGCAGCTCAGCGGCTACTCAGCTCGGGCTGGACTCGAACTGCTGTTGCTCAGAGCTCAAACTCTTGAGCGAGCTCTTAACCAACTGAGCCACTCGGCTGGCCCGGCACCCAAATAAATGAATGGCGTTGCCCAACATCACATAGCTGCGTGGTGGCAGTGCCATTACTACAGCCTGTTGTAAGGCCCTGGTACTGCCTTAGTCACAGCTATATTTTAGCCTTATGTATTGCAGAAAGTGTCTTGGATCAGGAATCCTAAGTCCTGAGCTCCAGGTCCCACTCTCCCACTTACGGACTGAATGGGGGGACCCCTTTACTCTGCTATGCATCTACAATCCTGGAATGAGTACCTACCTCACAAACCAAGGTTGAAACAACACATGTGAAAACCCTTTGTAAACCATAAAAAACTCTTACAGCTATAAAGCACTATTATTGCCTAGTCCCTTTACAATGATTATGGCATTTTCAAAAAGCTGAAATGTTTGCATTTTAGAGTATTTACTCAACTCATACTTTACTCTTCTATTTCTTCATTTTTCCACATGCACTTGGAACGTAGGTAGCTTGAAATTCTATTATATGCCCCCTATAACATAACAGTAATATCTCCTAGAATAAGGAATATTATGGAGTTCAAATCTACCCTTAAATAAACAAACAAACAAGCAAACAGAAACCCACCCAGCCTACTCCCTCCTCAAAATAAGAACAATAAGAAAACTCACAGCGATTATTCAATTCCCAACTGTTATCCAATCTTATTTCTTACTGTATGAGAGGATGGAAAGATCCCTGGGACAAAGATAATCTAAATGACATTCAGAATGGCTATCATCAATAAATCAACAAACAACAAGTGCTGGCAAGGCTGTGGGGAAAAGGGGACCCTGGTGCACTGCTGGTGGGACTGCAGACTGGTGCAGCCATTATGGAAATTAGTATGGAGGTACCTCAAAAATCTGAAAATGGAACTACCTTATGACCCAGCAATACCACTCTTAGGTATTTATCCAAAAAATCCCAAGACATTAATCCGAA